CCTGACGTGCTCAGCCCGAGGCCACCGTGAGCCAGCCCGCCCGGAGCGTCCCTGGCACCGGCGGGACCGACTGCGCTCGGCAGCCCGGCAGAAATGGGTCTCCCGGGCTCGGTGGTGGGGCTGCTACCGACCCCCACAGCCGCCCGCCCGTCACAGCCCTCCCGTGGGCAGAGCGGGGGGCGGCTCCGGCCCCGCACAGAAGCGGCGTGGGCAGGTCCGTCCCAACACGCCCACCGCCGTCCGAGGGGGTAAGGGTGGGAGAAAGGAGACCAGGAGAATAGATTGCTTATGTCCGTGGTAAAGGGGTTTACAAAAGGGCAGGAAAGGGCAAAGTGAGGGGCAGGAGAGAAGCCTGGTCTGATAACATTCATCTTTTAGCCATCTCTTCAAATCACACTGTTAAGATCATATCTGCTTTTCCTGCTCCATTACAGGTGATGAGGGGTAAGACTGCTGAAGGTGTGAGAGCTGGTGACTATACGTTTGGCGGTGCAAAATACACCTCGGGGTGGCTGGTCCCACGAGGCCAAATGCTCAGGGAGCAGCGCAGCAAAGGACTTAAATCAGGATCCCTAAAGGGGTGCAAGTCCTGTGGACATGGTTGGTGTCCTCTGTTTTGGGGCATGAGATCCTGACTGACCCCAGGACATGTAAGCAAAGTTGAGATGCTGGTCATGAGGAAAATTAGTTGACTCTGCCCTTCTTCTGGGGTTTTTCACTGCAAAGGGAAAAGTCTACTTAGGAAGGAGGATACATGTGAAATGAAATTATCTTTTCTCCCCAGCCATTATGCCAGAGTTATGTATCTGTTTTCTAGCCCCTGAATCCTGATTTCACTTATGGAAAATGAAAGGAATATACCTCTGCCAGAATGATGATCATCCCTCTCCCCACCTTTTAAGGGCAGCTGGGTGATCAGAACTCATTCTGGAGGCAGAAGACTTGAGTTTGACTTGGCCAAGGTGAAGTGGAGCTCTCTCACCTATACTCTGTGTGGATACTTACAAAACTGATAGAAAACAAGTAGAGGTAGCTAATTCTCTAGCCAGATCTTAGAAGTAATTGCCTGCCACTGCTTCTGCAGAAAGTCAAGAGGCATTTCCAAAGGACTCACATTTTGAAAGCTTGATAGCCCAATGGGTCTGTAGGATACTTTTAATCCCTTATTTTTTATAACTTCTAAAATTAATTTTAAAACCAGTTTACTAAAATGTGCCTAATGATCTACAACATCCAGCAGTTCTCATTCTCTTACCTCTGCAGTGTCTCTAATGAATAAAACTGCAATTAATTTCAGTGTTTAGTGTGGCTGAGCCAGTTCTTAATAGGGACCATACTAGTATGGCAATAGCTCAGAGCTCTTTGCTAGCTGATAAACTTCTTAATGGCTTGAGGTCCAGCTGAAGGCTTGGAATATTAATACTAATTAATTCTAATAATTTTCAGAAAACAAGCAATCATGCATATGACAGGATCTGAGAAACATTGGACAAACTACATATAGGAAACACATGGATCAATGACTTATTTTTATTGGCCAATAGCCATTTTCTTTTATTTTTCATGTTCTTGAAGAAATCCTGATATATGCATATCTTGAAAAGTTTCCTTAAAATATTAAATTTTTAAGTTTTGAAGGAGCAATGAATTTTAACTGTGGAAAATGTAAATTACTTGGACAGCAAATCTGCCCCTTCCAGCTTGCCAAAAATTTGTAGTGCAAGATCAACTGGAGTCCATTATGTATTCAAGCATCACTCCTGAATTTACATCATGAAGAAGTAAAAGCTGGAATGAAAAGGTGTGTTTCAACCAAATACTGTCCACTATTGATTTGAACGTTTTCCTGTAACAACAGATACATTTTACAGCTCAAGATGGGAATGTCACATACTTCTGCTCTGAAAGTTGATAATACAAGCTCTTGAAAAAACAGGTTGAAAATGATGTAACCTGGATCTTAAAAAGGAAATGAAAAAAGAGTTGGCTACCCGCTTAAAGGAGTAAACCACTTTCTGAAAGCTGGATCTCAGATCTGTGTTTTTTCTGAGTTCTATAAGAAGAATCAATTAATGTAGAAGTGCTTGACTTTTCTTACTTTTTTCTCTTCTTTCTCTTCTCTATGGAAAGAGCTGTCCAATTAATGTCTCCCTGCTTTTGTATAGTAATCACTAAACTTGCTGGTTTTGTCTTGAATTGTGTTGCATTTTGATTGTTGCAATCTTGAGACTTCAAAGACATAAACAACACAAGGTGAGTAAAAACTTTTCATTAGATCTATGATATAGCTTGGAAAATGGAAACAATGTTTTTAGGCAATGTGAACTTTTTCAGAGTGAAGCTGAAAAACTGTTTGCTTGATCAACTATCCATGTTCAAAAAAATAAATTGTTGGCAAACTTCATCTTGCTCTGGGTTCTATATTTCTTGCCTTTATATCTTTGTACTTCTCCTTCCTCTCACTCTACACATAAACAATTTTTAGTCCACTCATCTTAAAGCAACTCTTTAAGGTTCTTGTCTCCAGTTGTCACTCTGGGCAAAATTCTTCCCTACCCTCTGTCTCATTAAATAACTTCATTCACTGAAGTTGCTTCCATACACTAATTCACTAATCTCTGCATGGTGGTGCATGGTTTTGCCTGACTGTAGACTGAGGTAGGGCAGAGAAATCTCTTTTTCTGTTTGCAAATGTAGTCCAGGAGCTGAGGGAGCAGGTGCTTGACACATCAAATGGAACAGGTGTGTTGCTTCTTTTTCTACTCCTCTGCTGGACAGCCTCATACAGGCATTGCATTTTTGCCTCCCTTGGGGCTGTAGAGATGTGTACTCTTTGTGACTGTGATTGTGGCACACAAGTAGAGAGAAACATGTTTTGGAAACATCTGCTCTATTCCAACCCTCTAGAGAAGGATAGTTCCTTACCTTGTGTGCTGGCTACTCATGAGAATGAATTTCTGTGCTATTTTAGGCAAGACCTGTATGCACACAAAGATTATGTAAAACTGAAGATACAGATCCAGTTACAAATGCAGGTACTTCAAGTTCTGGAATCCTTCATTATTATTATAATGTGTTCTTTTACATCCTGCTAAAGTGGTGGAATCAATTGGGTAAGGACAGATTGCAGTCTATGTGGAGTGCCTGAGCAGAATATTGCCATGCTAAAAAGATATTCCTATAAATCAGTGATTTTCACCATACTAAGCATCATGAAAGTCAAGTGGGAAAATCAATGTCTTAATGCTTTATTTATGATTTTTTTAAGGGTATTGTTTCAATTTATTTTTTAAGAGGAGAACATTTCTGTTCTTAACTCTGTTGGCCTCAGTGGGCTTGCTTGTATGTGTGAATTTAGATCTATCTGATAGAAGATTTACTTAATATTGATTTATAAGACAAGCCAAATCACAGGAAAATAGGTGAAAATTCTGATCTTCACTGAAACTTGAAAAGGTAATGCACCCTATGAAATCTTAACTTGGAATTTTAGGTCCTTTTCTACACAAATTTTTGTTTGTGAAATTTAATTATTTCAAATTTACATTATATATTTTAAGATATATATATATAAATGTATATATATATATATATAAATTTTATATATTTTAAGATATATATATATTTTATTATAAATAAGATTTTGTATTTTTCAGTTTTGCAATTGGTCTTGAATGCAGCCTGGAGAAACAAACTGGATTCCAACATGAAAGGTAGAATCTATAATTAAAATATTTAATACTATTTAGACAATGAATCTTTAAGAGAAAAAAGGTTCTGCATTCAATTCCATTGAAGAATGCTCTTATAAATGCAAAATATTTCTAAAAAATATTAAAAAAAAATATTTTGAAAAAGAGAAAGACATGAATCCTACTACTTGAATATTTACAGTGTTCTTACTGTCTTAACATTACTGAGAAGGGTGAGGTGTCATATTTTACCAGCTGCAGATTTTGGGAAATCCTACAATGGAATTTCCTATTCCTCTAAATCACTATAAAGGAAACCAGTCTTCTCAAAAGAAGCTGCACCCTAGTTATAAACATGCATCATCATCCTTTCTACTTCTTACAGTGTTCATAAAGGATAGTCTACATAGTGGCTCAGATGTGCTGAAATAATACTAAGTATTCCAAGCCTACCTGTATTCCTCCTGATAAGAAGTGTGTAATTTCTGTGCCAGGAGGATCTCTAGTAACATAATAAAAAGATGTGTTAAATTTTAGAGAAGATGGGCTTGTATTTGGACAATCTTTTTTTTTGGTAGAGAAAAATAAAATTATGTATTTAATGTTTGGAAATACATCAAGCAAAAATACATTCTTTAGCTCATGATCAGAAATTGCCTGGAGATAATTTCAGGCAAAGTCATTACCACAGTTCTGAAAATTTTAAGGAAATATAGATATCTCTGTCACACAAAGGTGGCAATTTGAAGGCCATGTTCCAGTGTCCACTCAAATTTCTCATCAGCTTTGGCTGACTTTAATAAACACTGGGTTAGACCATCATGCTGGTGTAGCTCCACTAACTTCAGTGTATTTACTTTTGGTTCACTGATGTCACAAAGATGAGGTTCGGGTCCTGAGTCTATATTATTGAAAAGCATCTGCAGCTGAAGATGATCTGCAATCCCCAGGGTTAATTCTGTAATATCCATCTGGAAGGAATACATGCTCTGTTTAGGAAATCAAATTGTTTAGAGCATTTAGTGAAGTAGGGAAGAAGACACTATGGCTGTCCACAGATTTGAAATTATGCTTCATTTAAATTGTAACTTCCCATCTGCCACCATATTGAAGTCATCGTTGTAGAACAGAATCTTGTCAGAGGTACCAAAGGTCCTAGTTCTTTATGAGGGTAGTATGGACATAACCTAACTGCAGTTAATTTAACATCTGGCTATTTTCAAGTGTTGCCAAGATGTGCCTTCCTCACTGACATAATAATATTTTACAGGATAGACCAGTTGGCAATATCTCAAGATTTGCTTTTTTCATAGTAGGACTAACAGGAAAAATGACATAAATATATAAGTCCTCCACTATTTAAAATATTTTGTAATTTCTGCTACATTCTTTTCATATTCTCAAATATTATCAAGGCATTTGTTATTATGAAATGCTCCTTGCTGAAGCTGGAAATACTAACTATGCAATAGAATCTTCCTTTACCCTATTAGCATAAAAGCTAACATGTTTAATGACGTGACTGAATGGTAATTTTTCTCATGGTTTCTACTTTGGCTTATGCAACTGAGTAATGAGGCCATTGATTTTTGGTTTTCTCCTGTTTTTCACTGTATGCTCTCATGCCTTCTTTACCACCCACTGTTCAACCCATTCTGAGTACATAATCACCTTCCTTTTGGAACCTCTCTATTGTTCTCAAATACATGTCCACACACATTAGTTAATTTATTATCCCAGCATATTCCTGAGGTGGATGGATCTTATTATGCCCATTTTGAGGATAAGTGAAGATGCACAGTGAAATTACATACTCATTTGGATAGTCAGCTTGCCATTCAAAGGATATGAATAGTACTTGAAGAAAAGCCTCACATCAGATTATGAAAAGCTTCATATATAAGTAATTTCTTTACTGAACTTAGATATAAAAGTCTTTTGTTTAGGTCCCAGCTCTACTCTTCTGAAGATACTTCCCTCACCACAACCACAGGGGAAAAATAGGTAATTTCACCCAGCTCTGCTTGGAACCCTGAGGCCTGTTTTCATTATTTTTTTTTTTTTTAAGGCAAGAAGTAGATAGCAGTGGTAAATAATTATTCATCCCTGGGGAAAGGAGGAATTTTGCTGACACTAAGGTTGCACTAAGTGAGACCTAGGAACATTTTGTTCCATCTCAAGCTGTAAAGGGGCTGTGCTGTAGTTAGACAGAACTGTCATTCTCGTCTCCAGTACTGAGACATCGATACATGGCAGGTATTCCCTTCACCAAATATTCCTAGTATATGGATATTTTCTCCAGTTCTCCCCTGACTTCTTGTTTTGAGATACCTATTCAACCTGTTGCATACTTTTTCCTATGTCTTTTAGAAGTCTTTGTCTTCAGACTTAGTTATCCTATCTGCCACATTAATACCTAATCTTTATTCTCTTCCTTGCACCAGACTTTTTTGCCCCCTTCTATTTGCTTTCTCACTAGTCAGGCCTGAAGCTTGAGAGAACATACCTGCAGTTCGGAAGGAAAATTCAAGTCTTGGCTCCTCTACCTGTGCTTCCCAAACTGCTCTACATGAGACTGGTGCACATCCTCTCTGTATTTGAATTGGGAAAATTCTTCCTTCAGGGTTTCAGAGCACAGCATGGAAACAGAGGCAATGCAGATGAGATTGTGCGTACTCTGAATTAAGTGTCATGGCCAAGATCTTTTATCCCCTGGTAGTTTAGAGCTGCATCATCCCTGGGATGAAGGATGCTGAGTGGAGTGGGATTGCTTAGGAAGTTTCCAGCTAACACCAAGAAGGTTATGTTGCATGTATACAGAGTGTTTTCCTTTTCCATAAGGCTACAAATCGACAATAACAGGATGAATTTGTACAAGGATAGAAAGTACCTGTCTGAACTTATAGTTTATAGTTGAGCTGTACCTGGCTTTTGTGGAACAAATCCTGTCTCCTTAACTTAAACACTTCTCTAGTTCCTGCCCACCCCACCCACAGCATTCTGGAGATGGGCAGGCAGTGAACCAGATCTCACTCCCAGGAAGTACTAACGGTGTGCACTATCCCACTTACAGGTTTGGAGGTGTGTTTCAGTCATTTACAGATGGAAGAAGCACCTGAGTGGAAAAGTGACTCTTCCAAGATGGTGCAAGGAGTCCTCCTGGCAGGGAAAAACCCCTGTGTCTTTCAGTTCTGTGCTCTAACCTCAGGAATCCTTCCCTGGACAGGCTAGGTGCTCCATGCTGAGGAAAGACTAGTGCACATGCTTTTGACATTTACGTTACAATAAATATTGTATAAAGTGACAAATTATTCAGAATCAGGAGAGAAAAATTTCTCCTTCTTGTTCCCCAGAGTTTATTTTGTGCATGTGTGTGTCTTTCCAAATCACTGACTTTTACTTCCATTTATATTCACATGCTTATAGACTTTATTCTTGTGTCATCCCCTGACTGAGGCCATGTGACAGCCTAGTGATAGGGAGAAACCCTGCAGGTTTTCTTACTAAACTGCTGCAAACCATTTAATAGATTGGAATAAGTGGCTAACCTTCCACTTTCTTATGTAAGATGATGAACATAGATATTTATAGAGGCTGCTGTCTCTAAATTCGTTTACTGTCACATGGCATGTGTGTCTGTCTTTCACGTGTCTCTGTCAAACTCCTTAGAAAAAATAAATCTACTACCAAATGTAAAGAGCCCACTGGTCTTGTTGTGTGTTATAGTTGACAAGGATGAAATGTGACATACTTATAATAAAACTAATTGGAATGAGTAATGTGTATATATATATAATTATCATGCTCATATGTTGACATCTAACTCTTGCCAAAGGAAATAATTAAATAACAAATTACTGTAATGTAACTTAAGGCTTTATTCCAGCATTTTCTAATAATCCTTAGTGTTCCCAGGACAGGAATTATTTAAAATGTGTGGCCAGAATATCCTTTCGAAAGGGAGAAGCAGTCATGCAAATTCAAATTTACTTTCCCCTGTCTATTTGCTCTAACTGATCTTTGTGTGAAAAAAGTGCAGAGAAGTAAAAATCCTCCTACCCTGAACCAGGCATAAGCAGCCAGGAGTACAAGACCCCTCCAGTGTGCTCTTCTCCTCATCTTTCTGAGGAAATAAAGACTTACACTCCATACTGGAGCATGGATCTGCAGGGTTCTGCTGGACTGTGCTGCAGTGTGTCACTTGCCAAGGTCTCCACAGCTCCTGGGAGCAGCCCTTCTTGCTCCAGCCAAGCCCAGGAGCAAGGGAAGGCCAAACACTGCTCTTTCTTGTGCACTGGTCCTCATGTTCCATGGGTGCTGTGGCTCTGTGCTTATCAGTGTGCTCAGGGGACAGTGCTATTTGAATGGCAGGCTTTAAATCACAAGTGATGGGAAGAGTCCTTGCCCTGACAGTGTTTCTGAAAATACCTGATGATGTTCCTGATTTATATACCAGACACCACATCACCTCTTAGTATGCATCTGCTGCTGAGGATGCGTTGTTCCAGCTGCAAGTAGGCAAGGGAGAGCCTGCCACAAGAAAGGGAAATTGAATCTTTAAGCAGACCAATGCCAAGTGCAACGCTCTTACAGACATCTCTGCTCCCCCTGACTCCTGTCTGATCTCCCTGACCACAAGATGGAATAGAAGAAAAAACATGAGTAGAGAAAAAGGGACCATGGAAAGGCCTGCTATGGGGCAAAAGGATTTGTGTTTCTGATTAAATCCATGATGTTTTAAGACTCCAAGCCTAACCAGTCTTGTGGTGTGGCATGAGGTCAAACTCCTCCATTCAACTCTATCCCTTCCCCAGGGGTTAGACAGACATAAATCTGTCTAAGGTGTAGATGACTGGCTGTTCACTAGCCCTAAGACGTATAATAACAACATTCAGCTCTTATTGGCAAATCCAACAAGGTAAAGTCTATGGTATTGAAAAAAGGAAAAAAAAAAAATAGAAGAAAATTTCTGGAAAAAATAGGCTTGTGCTCAGAGAAAATCTGAGAAGGAAAAAGTAAACAGTGTTACAAAAAACATAAGCCCAGCCAGAAGGAACTAATTCTAAGGTTCCTGCAAAAAAAATATCTGATTGCTTTTCCCTGCAATGACCAATTCAAACGTGAAGCTTGGAAAGAATGAAAAATTGGAAGGGAAGGTAGTTTGAGGCTAGAAAATCTGGTGAAAGGAGGAAGATCCCAGATGGCAAAAAATGTTCATCATCTCAAGCTCACTCCCTGGATTGGTCTGTCACTCAGCAAATGAGAAGAATGAGCAAACTTTTCCTCACCTCACAGGCTAGAGAAACCTTTGTGTTCCCATCCATTCTGATTTAAGTTTCCCATTTACTTGACAAGAGACAACAGTATAGTTGCATTGGGGATTTTTTTGAATGTCAGTAGAAAAAAATCTGTAGGAAATAGAATGATAAAATCTAACATTGTACTTATCTTATAGATGTGTTATTGGTATCTTCAGTTGTTCTTAGGTATGCAGGTGTTTTAGTTGATGTTTGTACAAAAATGAATGAACCATCACATAGTCAAATGCAAAACTGTATCTGGCATTAAGAAATAAATTATAATTGTGCATCACCAACTATCAATGATCTTCAGGAAATGACAATTGCTATTAGTGAAAACTTGTCTTAGGCTTTGTAGTGGACCATTCGAACCCTGAAGGAACCATTACAGGCAGACTCATCAGCAAATTCTTCTTTCTTTAAACTACAGACAGAATATGTTGACAGTGAAACTTAATTGCCAAGAATTTATCTGATTTAGAATTACTGAACCAAATATGTTGTCACATCATCTTTCTTGTTTATTTGGGGCCATTAATCATGCTACAAACCTAAGACTTAGCAAGAACAGTTCTGGTGGGTTTTTTAATGTGCATAGATTTTGAGCTATGGCTATTTCCTCATTCTTCTCTCCTGATGTGACAGTAATATTTTCCTCTCTGTCTCCCACTGTCAAGCCTATTGTGTAAATAGATGTAAATATACAAGTCACTAAGTAGGACATTAAGTAGCCATATGAAGTTATAGTAACTATCTGTTTGAATAGCAATATAAGCCTGAAATAATGTAATTAAAATGTCATGGTTGTCTATTTCTTTGTCAGTGGCAGACAATGCCTTTAGAAGGGAAAATCTGTCAGAGAAAATGAGTATAAAGACGTTGTCTCTGCAGAGTATGAAGATATATGTGTGGCTATAAATGTCTGCTAGCTGGACTGAGCAGTCTGACAGCTGCAGGATACTTGAAGTTACCCCTGAGTACCTCTTGGAGTTCAAGCCTGAAATCTTAAGGGTTATATCCAGATAAGAACTTCTGCATCTGTGGAGAATCCTGGCCCAGTAGGGTGGTCTGAGGAGCTGACAGCAGCAAGGAAGTCCTGAAAAACCACCTCTGATGTTTTTGAAGATGGTAGCTGAAATTAAATTGTCTCAGTTGCCATTTGCCATTGTAGTTGGGATTCTCATTCACATCCAGCACTAATGCAAAACTAACTCCAGGCAAGATTTAAAATAAACTCTTCATTTGAAATAAAGACTATTAATAATCCCAGTGATGTGACAAATTATATAAATTACAATGAGGATTTTTGAAGTCTGCAGTGATAGTGAATAGGTTGATTTCCAATTTTCCCTGTAATGTGCATTGTATGCCATTTAATGTGAGAGAACCGTGCTTTGGAGTCACATTGTTATCTAAGTAGTCTGACATTTATCAGATGTTTTTTCAAAGGGACAAAAAAAGAGAACAGCAGAGATGGGAAAGTCAGTGCAAGCTCAAGTCAGGGTCTTTTAAAGTGTTATCTTTAATTTAGTGTTTTTTAGGTAATATATAAATATTGTCTGAGAAGCTCAGTCTATTGTTTAACAAGTTAATATTTTGTCTTTGCCCATTAGCAAATATTTGACTCATACAATTCAAATCATTAAAAGTGTGCTTCAAGCATGAGCACGTGTGGAACTAATTTTTGTCTGGTGTCCTTATCATGTGGTAGATTTTCAATGATTAGGAGACATTGAATGAGTCACTTCATAATGCAAGGTCAAATGAGGATGATCTTGACCAGAGCTTTTACTGTCTTGAAGGGGAGGAGGTCACAGTATAGGTTTTTCTCCATTATTCTATAAGTTTACCTTAATTCTGACCTGCAGAAGTAGCCTCTAGTTAGGCAATGGGGAATTTTGGTTTTATACTTAATTAATTTTTAGTCATACTTTGTCATTAGATGCTGGCCTCATTTTTTTTGTTGTTGTTGTAATTTGTGGTATTTGTCAGTTACATGACAAAGTGAAGTTAATAGGAACTAAAGGCTACCAAAGGTCACTAAACTCAAGTCAATCATAAGCAATAAATCCAAAGATGGTACAGCAGTAGTGGTTTATTTTGTAACTAGATTTTTTTTCCAACAGCAAACATGTTTCTTATGTACTGCACATGGTATGTGTTGCCTTTACTGTCCAGTTTTTATCATTGTTGTTTGACACAGTACCACGGGGCTGTGTCTGCTTGATAGCAGTGGATCTTCCAACTCTGAGAGGAAGATTTGATAATTTGCCTTGTGGATTACAGCTTCGTTTTCTTTCCTACAGATAACTACTCAAAACCACTTCTGAAGAGAGAAAATCAAGGAGACCAGCAAACTGAGAGCTGGGTGTTGGATAGCAGAAGCAGAGCAAGGCTGGATATTAGATAGCAACTAATCTTTAGTTGTGATCCTTTACATCCACCTTTACCCACACCCTAGTCAGCCCTTGACTCAAGTCAATGAGTGATGGCATAGCATTTTACACTCAATTTGAAGACCTTAAGGAGGATCAATGACAAGGTTGTCAAGTCTGGAGGTGATGGAAAAGTGTCTCTGGTGAATCAGGAACTAGTACTGAGCAACGTCATGAATACGGTGACACTGAAGCTGATGAAACACAGCTTCAAGGGGAACAAGAATAAGGAGATGGAAAAAACTGTGGTGGGAATGTGAAGAGGGGATGGCCAAGTGTAACCTGCCCTGAGGAACAGTGTGACTGTCTGCCCTGTGGCATTATCAAATACCAGGATACCCTGACACAGGGCAGGAGTACAGACATCCTCAGCAGGGCCTCTGGGAAGCAGATGGAAGTGACACAATAAAATGGAAACTCAGAGGGGAAAGATGAGGCCATTCAGTCAATTTGTTTAGATATTTGTTGACCAAGTTGGAGAGAGTAGCACTATTAAATGGAGAAATGGAGAGTTATCTCACTTATGAGAAAAGTGGGTCACTGGTGGTGGCAGAATTACTGGAGGTGGACAGATAATATTTGTTTTGGCTTGCTGAAGTCAGTAGGCCACCTGCTCTGATAAAAGTTGCATAACATTTTAGCACAAGTTGAAAGGTAGCTGAAATGACGTGGAATTCAAAAGCTGAAAGCAGATTAATTTTTCAGTCCTTCTGGGAAGAGTAACTCAAACCCATATGAAAGTGGTAGTTTCTAGGTGCAAAGGAAAGACTGTCACTATGATGTCTACACAACCAAACATTCATCTGGCTGAAGCAAAAGCCGTTCAAACAATGTTTCTTCAATTGAATGCAAACATGCCAAGGCTCTTTGATACTTGGAGGTGTTTTGATTTAATGTGTATATGTATTCCCTTTTCTTACACAGAAATGTAAAAGGTACAAAGGGAAGAATAACTTCTAAGCAAACACTTCCACTGTTAGAAGAATTTACCATTTATTCAATTATGAAAAAATATATAAAATCATATTTACAGCCATAAGGCCATCACAGAAGAAGATGTTTTGCAGCTTCCTAAAAACTTCACCAGAGTCCACACTTTCTTCCCTTATCAATTACATCTCTATTTACTAGAAAATGTTAGGTTTTGGGTGGTAGATTTTCCAGCAGAATATTTAATATGGAAAATAACAAGAAACACATTAAAGCTTTTGCAGACATTGTTATTACAAGCTGTAAACTGTGTGAAATATTTCTAGAGAAAAAAAAATCTTAAGCAGTTCCAATGTCTTTTTTTCTTTCAGCCAAATGGCAAAAGGAAGAGCATTTTTGTATCTAAGTCTGCATTGTGGTGACAAGCAACACTTGTGTTTGCAATCAAGGAGCTAAATGTCAGCATACTGCTTTTTATTCAGACATGAATTCAGAGGTGCTGGTGAGGGCTCTTCAGATGTTGACCTACATGTCTAGTGTTTTACTGATAATAGACTTTTAAAGACAGAAAGCCAAAGGAGAAATTGAGATTCAGACCTACCTACAGCAGTTAAAGCAAAATGGTTGATGGGAAAAGGGTCATGGCTTCAGCAGTTGCTTCACTGCAAATTTACACCCCCTGTCTGTAAATACAGGTAGATAGTTAACAGAGGATTGGCAAAAGTACAATGTAATTCAGAATAAAGAAGAAAAATTCCAGTCTCCTGAACAGGAAAACATTTTTTTAAAAAAATGTTGCATCTTTCTTTTTTGCCAAGATTGGTACTGAAGAGTTTGAACTTCATTTACATTTTCTCTCCTTCCTTCCCTAAAAAAACCACACAAAAAAAGGAGAAAGGTTATTCTTAAATTTGAAAGAAAAATTTCAGAAAATTTAGAGCAGAAGTGGGTTTCTTTTTCCCCTCAAAAGAGTTGTATTTGCATTGAGATATTCAGTTTTATATACTTTGGTCTGAAAGTTGTCTCCTTGAAACATGCAACGTATTAGGGATATACATAAGTACTTAAATGGCTGGTACTATACTTACTGTCTTTGATTTCTTTTGGAACCACTAGATATAAAAAACAATTCTTTAGACAGGTGTTGATTATGAAAAAATATACAGTGAAAGAAAACTTCTTGGGAGAACTCTCAGCCTTGTTATTACTTTGTTTATACACCTGTTCTTTCAAAAAAATTCAGTTTTACTGTTTTTGTTGGGGTTTTTTTCTATTTTTTTCTTTCTAAAACTGTTTTTGTCTCTAACAGGTTTCCTGTATTTCTGATCTTTTAATTATGATCTTTTAATTATATGTACTCAGGGCATTCATTAATAATACTGTACTTCTATTCCATGACCAGATGATATGTCCTATGTCTCCCAAGAAAATGGTTATGACTATCATAAGGTATCAGTGATTTTATCCTTTGTAATCCTGCAATATTACATTTAATTTTTACATTTTTCACATTTTACTCCTCTGTTTCTTTTCTTCTTCATTTTTTTCCATTTTGTTTTCTGGTATCCAAGGGTGGTTGGGCCCTGGAACAGGCTCCTCAGGGAAGTGGTCACAGCACCAAGTCTGACAGTTCAAGAATTTGGACATTGCTCTCAGGCACCATAATGTGACTCTTGGGGTGCCCTGTGCATGACCAGGAGTTGATGATCCTTGTGGGTCCTTTTCAAATCAGCTTATTTTGTGATTCTGTGAAGCCATTGCATGTATCTGCTTCTGTGTGAAAAAGAAATATGTGGAAAGGATGGGGTCAAGGTGTGAAAACAGGATGGTGTCAGGATCACCACACAGAAAAGGATGCTGTGGAATTTCTGGGCTGATGTGAAGGAAAGGTATCAAGTGTTGGACACATAGCACTGCTAATGGGTCTGTGAAAGCAGCCAGGATTTCCAAGAGTGCAGTGGATACCAAAAGCACCCTGAAGATGTGAAGCTGGGACTGTTTGTTTAGAGGATGGTACCTCAAGCTGCCAATATTGTCGAGAAGTTTGTGTGTTTCCACTGTTTAAAGTATTGAAGACCTTTTATTGATGGGTTTGACATCACAACTCAATGGAAGAATCTCTTGCCAAGAAAAGACCACCTTCAACCACTTGCGAATCCCTTGCAGGAAATGTGATGAAGGGTTGAGAAAATTATCATCTTCTACCCCTTATTCATAAAGCCTCTACTACGGTATATTTATTCCATAATTATTTTAATTTGTTCAATTTTTTAGGCTTTTTGCTTAATTTCTGTCTCAGCCACAATCAGTACTCGATTTAAAATGGCTTTTCTTGCCACAAGATGGCAGTGCAATCCTTTAGATAACAACACGGGCGGTCAGCAAACTTTCTAGAGACAAACTTTCAGAACAAAACACCCCTTTGAGGAGACAGTTTCCAGGAGATTTATAGTTTAAGGAAAAAGGGCATGATAGTTGTTTTAACTGCTGTTATTCCTAATTCTGGCCAAAATAATTCACCTGATGTCTGAACAGACACCACTGCTGTTTGATTATTGGACAAAGAAAACTAGTTCCATTAAATAGATTTGTACAGCAAAAGGAGGATTTTGTGGTGATACACTTTATATGCATCCCAGATGGTTGCAATATATGGATGGCTTATTTTAGTACATTTCTTTTGCATGTACCAAAATGCAATCTCCTGCTGCCTGGAAGAAAGTTGGATCTCAGAGTATGCCTAACTGTTTTGTAGAATCAAGATACAAGACCACTTTAAAGCTTGACATCTGGCACTTCCTTGGCTTCCCCAACCTCCCTGCTGAAATGTAAAAATAACTGCAAAACCATTGTTGGGTTTTATTTTTCTTTTGTCAATGGCCCAGAAGTTTCCATCTAGATACCAGCTGGGATCAGCTTGGGGGAAAAAAAAAAAGGAAAAAAAAGAAAAAAAAGAAAAAAAAAAGAAAAAAAATCACATCTCTGGAAATGATCCAAAAGTAGCAAGGTAACAAAATAAGTCCAGGACCACAGTGCACTCCTTCAAATACTTCCTTCATAGAGCTCTGGTAAGCTATATGAATTTAAAGTTCCTTGAAGGAGCTTTCCCTACTTTTTAAATACAGCCAAAGACACAAAAGATAGTTTGAAAGGTGAACTTAAAAACCTGCTTTCTTGTTAAGAATTTAAAACACAATGCCTGTCATCAGCATATAATCGGTATATAATAAAGGCAATTAGGCAGACGCAATTCTATCTAATTAAGTATAATAAGATATGTCAAAATGTCTAATTTTGTTGTTGCATTGATTTGTAAAAGCTTCTTTAGGTAGAGTATGGTTGAAGCTTGGGCTTAGCACTCTGAAGCATTTGAGTGTAATTCTGTTCGCTGGCATGATTCCACGCGACCTTGGTGTCAAGGAGATGAAGAGAAAAACAGGGAGAGTGGTTTTTCTCTCAATGTGTCAGTCTTCATCTCTGAAAGGAGAATTACAGTTCATCCCTACTTTCTCATTTGGATATCTCATCTATTTTGAACATAAGTGCTTTAAATGCTGTTGTTTCTGTACTTTTGCAAAATTAACTCAGCTAAATTGCATCTTCCAGCAGTATGACAATACTGCTAACATTGTAATTAAATGCACTGTCATTGTAAGAATTAAACTTGGATGTGACTTAGCAATCTTGGTTTAGAGAAGGCATTTTCTCATGTATTTATTATACCAGTTCAGCGTTACACGCTGTCCTTAGCTGCTTGTTGGAATGGGGATTTTTTTTAACTCAGAAGACTTCAGTTCTCCATTTTCTTCTAACAACAGCACATTTTTCTGGCAGTATAAAATGTTACAAACGGGTCTCTTATTTAGCTGAATTATCGACAGTCAGGACAGGTGTAAGTAAGTGAGGTTAACAGGAGACACACTGACCTGCACAGAGGATTACAGTCTACTACCTGCCCTATGACTGGTAAAACAGTTCCATTTTTTGGGAATTGCTTTCGTAAAGTTTATCCTTGTTCATAAAAACAACACTGTTGATGCATGAGAAGCATGTTTATTTTCTAGTTTAAACCTCTCTAGGCAAGCAGGCCACAAAGCTTCCTTTAGTGGCTGGCAAGGGTCAGATAGCACAGTCCCTGCCCCATGCTCTGCCTCCATCTCATGGACATACAGAATCATTTAGGTTGGAAAAGGCCTCAAAGATCATCGAGTCCAGTCTTTGACTGATCACCACTATCAACATGGTATGGTCAGCTAGACCATAGCACTGAGCCATATTCCACAGGATAATCTACAGCTGTGCAGCGCTCACTGCTCCTGCATCCCCTGGGGGTGCCTGCAGATAAACCCTAGCTGCTGACCCAGGCAGACAGCAGTGGCCTGTTACAAAATAATCACAGAGCTCCTTCCCAGCCCACTAGTTTGGGCAGGTCAGGGCCACTGGATGGTTCAGCTGCACCTTCCTGGGGACCCCATTCCACAACAGGAGATGGAGGAGATATGGAGCAGCCAAGCCTCAGGAGAGACAATGACCCAGTGCCACCTCAGAATGAAGTGTTTACTCTGGGACTGCTGCTGGGGAGCACTCAAGAAGGGTCTGGAAGAAGGAGGGATGTAGGTTCTTGTGGGGGTTTGAAACCAGCAGGAGAAATTAACTCCACACAAATACCTTGCAAGAGATTTCAAGACAGAAATTACAATTTAATATAAAGATTACAATAATTTCAATAATACAGAAAAACTGGCTTAAATACACAAAGTCAGACTACAGCCTAGCCCCTGTCAGTCAGGGTGTGGTCATGGTCCAGTTAAACTGTGTTTGTAGTCCTGTTAAAGTGGTGGTTGCAGTCCTGTCAAAAGCAGCAGTCTGTGGAAGGTCTGGTCCTCCTGCGGAAGCTCCTGTCCTTCTCTGGATGTCCAGTGGTGGTAGTGGACTCAGCCCACAGATTATATCTCCTCAAATCCAGGCAGGAATGTTCAGTACCTCCCCCAAGGGTTTCACAATGGGGCTGAGTCATTGGTGTGAAGAAAAAGAAACATTACCCTGCCTTGAAGGGTTGCCTCTTTTTCCTTGATGCAAAACCAAGCTCATAGCCTGAGAGGTGGGCTGTTCTCTGGGCAGCTGTTGCAAATTACCCACCATTAACAGTTCACCAGGAATAATGTAGATGGGTGTAGAAGACACCTATCCTATAGTAAAAAACCTATAGTTTTTTTACTCCTGTATTGGCACTCTTCCTCCTGTAACCAGGACAGCCCAGGACATTCTGGGTGAGATGTTTGGTTGGTTGCAGGCTGACCACCTCCATCTTAATGAAATTGCTAAATTGGGAATGGTTTGTAAACAGAAACAAAAAGTTTTCAGGCCTATGAGTAATGAGTCATGTCTCCTTTTTTCTTAACATTACCTTGTCCCCCTTTTTTGCACTGTAGGAGGAAGAGCATGAATGCATGAGACCTAATTAGAAAGAGCTGAGTTAGTGTCAAGTACACCTACACTTGTTAATGGAGCATGAAATAAAACCATGTATTGCAGCAAAAGAAAATTAATATTGGCCATGAAACTTTCTGTTTTATAAATTGGAATAAGTGTATCTGGCACAGTATATCACTTTCAATAGATTGCTTTGGTTCAGCAATCTTAGAGAAGTGACTCTTCAGTATACCTGGGGCCTGGAGCACAAATCCTGTCTGATTGTGAAAGACCATTTTAACCAATTTTTATGACCAAGTTAAAGACTATTCTGTTTGAAGT